TTCTTCCCTCTGAGGGTGACGGAGCACTGGCACAGGCTCCCGAGGGAGGTTGTGAAGTCTCCTTCTCTGGAGATGTTCAAACCCCGCCTGGACAAGGTCCTGTGCAGCCTACTGTAGGTGACTCTTCTTCGGCAGGGGGGTTGGACTAGATGATCCACAGAGGTCCCTTCCAACCCCTAACATTCTGTGATTCTGTGTTTGTATACTACCAGGATATAATTTCTTGCAGCAGTATAGAAAAGGCTGAATCGGGGAAAGGGGGGGGAGAAAAAAAAAAGAGATAAATGAGAGGATGGTGGTAAAGACATGGAAAAGAATGGAAAGAAAAATTACTTCTTTGTATACAAATCATCTGTCCCTGAATGGAAGAAATCTGGATTGTCCACTTCTGTAATAAGACATACTTCAGAGGACAGAACACTGAAAAACATGACCCATAGCTATGGACGTATGTAAGCGGCTAGTTTTACTCCCAGTATGCAGTTTGGCATGTATGAAACATCGTATTGAAATGTGAGTACCTGATCTTAGTCTGAGATCCTTTAAAAGCGACCCAGCCTCAGCCACATCCAGCAGCAGGGAGGGTGCAGTCGGAGGAGAGGGAGGACTCCCTATGCCGCACAGGGAGCAGTGCACGTTTCATTCATCAGAGGGGAATGATGCACACTTTTGTCTTTAAGTCCCCAAGCTTCTGATGGCTATTCTGTCTACATCTGCATGAATTTCATGCCTTTTCTTTTATATCAGCTCTAACCAAATGCCAGGCTGTGACAGGGTTAAACGTTCCTTCCCGTTCTCTTTGGGGACATACTGGTGCAGGCTACACAATATAAGCAGATAGGAGTAATGCGGAAAAAAATGCAGAAGTTTGCATCACTGGCACCAGCAGGATCTCTGCCGTTTACTTCAGTGGGAACAGAATCTGCCTCAAAATGAGGGAAATTTGTGAGTGGAGACAACTGTCCAGACTGCTGAGCTATCTGTATGAAACACGAATACTGTGAAAAAAAACCACATTGTTCTTCAAAAACCTGAAATCTTCCCATTCTGCTCCAATTTTTTTGTTAATATTCTTTTGATGGAAAACAGAACCATCAAACCAAATTTTGTCAGCTCTTTGGCAGATCTAAGTTTGTATTAAAAACTTGCTTGATTCCAGAAATATGATCTCCACATGGAGCATCTCTCTGCAAGACTGGGAACCGTGTTTTCTGGTCTTTTATGCTCCCAGGCATTGCAGATACTGAAAGACCTTTTTTTTTCTGCCACGAATTTGCATAAGGTATTTGTCTTGTCCTTCTCTTTTTGTATGTCTAATTGTACAAAGTGATCAGTATGGAAGACACATCACTAGGCCTTACTGCGTGCATTATTAAAGTGTTAATTTTTAAATAAGATACCAAATTAACTGTGAGCAATTTTTATAAAGGGAAGCATGAGACTGCCATATCTTACATCACTCTATATAAAAAATATATTTTAAATGGAGGTCATTCAAGTAAATAGTCAGTCAAACCTTCTGGAAAAAATAGGTCTACGTTTTTGCAATATTTTCTTGCTGTTAACCGTGTGCTTCTCATTTTTATTCCCTGGATTAAAAATTGCCCCATAAATGGGTATTTTATAATATGCTTAATTTCCTTTTATTAAATTGATAAATGCAGCAGCAGAGGACACATTTACAGTATGAAGAGAATTTAAGGTTATTGCATTTTATAATTTTTATATTGTTCAGAGAAGAGATTTGTCATTTGTGGAATGACATCCACGCCATCATTTCAAAGTATATTTAGTTGTTCTTTTGATAGGATAAAGGTCACTTTCTGTAGACCAGGAAGGCATCACTCTATTAAACTAATTTGCCTACATGCAAATTTTGTCATTTTTACCTCATTAACTATTTGTCACAGAGTAAAAAAATCTATATATTCATGAAGGGGCAGCTAGCAGCCTGATGGAGCCGGAACTAATATTTTGCAACTCTAATGATTTTTTGCATCCTTAATTAGATAGCATAAGGTTGATATGATTAGGTCAGGATGTAGTGTTTTTCATTAAAATACATTTTAGAAGCTGTATTCATAATCTGCCCTTGCAATTAAATAATGAGCCTATGAGTTTAATATTATTGACCCAATTGTTACCCAAGGAAAAGTATATCTTTAATAAATTTGTGCCGTAGGACCTTCATTAGCAACAAAACAAATTATATTTCCAGATACACAGATTACACGGCCACAATCGCATTTATGTAGCAACTTCGAAGGCTGTGGGGAGAAAGCCACCAACTAGCCCCGTACCATACAGAAACGCACTTGATTATTTTGGAAGTCATTTACAATGCCTTTGATGAGGAAAGATGCAAAGAAGTAAAAATGCCACCTACAGAGGCAATCCGAAGCATTTGTAGGAGGAAACGTGCAGGAATAGCGTTCTGGGCACCCTCTGCTAGGGGGAAGCCTGGTTCCCTGTTCCTCAACCTGTTACAAAATATGGAGGCAGAGCTAAATGTTTACTGATCTTTTATGGGAGATGGGCACGTGTTAAACGCACATCAAATTCCAGAATTAAGAATATCAGGACCAGTAGAAAACAGGAGTACATTAACTTGCCAT